TATTTACTTCGAGCATCCCCACCATAAAGCCGTTATTGCATAAGAAATGTAATGTTTCCCTGCCCCCCACCCCCCAAACTGCTTACCTTGCAGCACCGCAAATGCACTGTAACAATATTGCAGTTTGACACTGCAGGGGCAAATACTGTGGGGTTCGGCATTGCAAGGGCTGGGCACGATAAGAACACTTTGCCATTGAGCTCTGCAGAGAAATTGTGGGTTTGGGCACCGCAGGGATAGGTTGCCATGGGCACTGCAAAGGTACTGTGGGGTGGGGCACTGCAGGGATACCCTGCTGTTGGGCGCAGCAGGAATACTCTGCGGTTGCTGTTGGTCAGTGAAGGGCACTGCAGGGATAATCAGCGGTTGGGCACTGCAGGGATACGTTGCGGTTGGGCACTGTGAAACGCAAGCGTCACATAATACACAAAGATCCTGCGCACAGAGATATATATATATATATAAATAGTTTAGGGATTAGGGACTTGCCTTTTGGGGGGTCCCAAGAATGAGATAATAATATGTTGGGGTTTAAAGTTGGGTCCCCTGTTCATGGAAACTAGCAGGTTAGCCCCAGATGCTACACTTTGTGTCAGCTTGGGCAAATGCAGGCACAAACAACATTTTGGGGATAGGGAGTGGCTGGAGCCGTAACAGATAAAAAGCAAAGAAAACATTCCTTGCCCGTTCCAGCACAAGACTCGTTGTACTGGATCGGCTTTAGCGTGATGGCAGGGCTGACGTGTAGTTATGCAACCACGCTTTGCTGTGAAGGTTCTGCAGAATCTGTTGGGCGGCAGCTCGTGGCAAGGACAGTCACTGCTGCACATGTCTGTGGGAGAACTGTCCGTGGTGTGTGCGCGTGCCGTGAGGAAGCGCAGCGTTCGAACGGCTGCAATGCCGAATTCTAAGATTGCATTTCTGGGACCAGCTGATGATGTTGCATCTACGGGGCATGAAGCTGCCATCACCAGCATCATCTTTGAAGACCAGGTTGCCCTGACCCTTGTGCGCACATGTGCGCACAACTTTTACAAACATCGGTTACTTCCCAGCATGTCCGGCGGCCTGAGATTTGACATTTGACGCGTGCGTGCCGAGGCTGTTCGCTTTGCAGCGGTGCGTTCGTCGACGAGTGGCAGAGCTGCTTTCTTTCTGGAAGGAGGCACCCCGCCCCTCTTTCGCTTCAGTGCTCTGGGTCACGAAGTGGATGTGACGGAGTGCAGCAGGACCGTGTGGTACAGTACCAAATGCCAAAGCACTGTCTGAATTGCACTGAGATCGTTTTGATGTGTCGAAGCAAGATCAAGGTCATGCAAGTACTGTGGAACTAATCCGGAAACTATCCTAGAACATACCCCAAGCCTTCGTGTTTGAGGGTGCGAGGTTCTTTGAAATCCTCACCAATTTCGGGATTGCTTAGCACCTTGCGCCGAGAGAGTTCTTGGCATTCTGATCAAAGAACCGTGGAAAGAAGAGGCACTTCGCCGAGTGCTGACACCTGAGCCGGTAAATACATGACCCAGACCACAGCGCTTGGCCTGAAGCACTGTAGCAGAAGTCATTCGGGAATTCGGACTTATCAGACAGGTTGAGACAGGTCCTGAGTGGGAATGCTTGGGAAACGCATGGCAATCCAAAGCTCTCGTTGATGGCTGATGACAGGGTTGTTGTTCCCTTGCCCCAAGCATGTCGGAGATTGGACCCCTTGCATGATGAGCATTTCAATCCAAACGTCTCAATGATAGAGCTGAGTGCAGCATGCTGAGATGGAAGGAGCTGATGGCAGGGTTGTTGTTCCTCGTCCTCTGCTTGCTGTGGTGTTGGTGTGCGTCGTTTTCGTCCTCCTCCTGATCGGCGTGGTTTTTTGCCGAAGCATGAGAGCATGTCGGAGATTGGGCCCCTTGCATGATGAGCATTTCAATCCAAACGTCTCAATGATAGAGCTGAGTGCAGCATGCTGAGATGGAAGGAGCTGATGGCAGGGTTGTTGTGTTGTTTTGGCCAGAGCATGTCGGAGGTTGGATGAGAATGGGAATCTGCGTTAACAACCTTGCATGATGAGCATTTCAATCCAAACGTCTCAATGATAGAGCTGAGTGCAGCATGCTGAGATGGAAGGAGCTGATGGCAGGGTTGTTGTTCCTCGTCCTCTTCATGCTGTGGTGTTGGTGTGCGTCGTTTTCGTCCTCCTCCTGATCGGCGTGGTTTTTTGCCGAAGCATGAGAGCATGTCGGAGATTGGACCCCTTGCATGATGAGCATTTCAATCCAAACGTCTCAATGATAGAGCTGAGTGCAGCATGCTGAGATGGAAGGAGCTGATGGCAGGGTTGTTGTGTTGTTTTGGCCAGAGCATGTCGGAGGTTGGATGAGAATGGGAATCTGTGTTAACAACCTTGCATGATGAGCATTTCAATCCAAACGTCTCAATGATAGAGCTGAGTGCAGCATGCTGAAATGGAAGTAGCTGAGGTCAGAGGGATGGCAAGCATGAGCATAAGCGATTCTGTTGTGGTGAATCGCCAGAGTCAGCGTAACGATAGTGATTGCCCCAGCTTCGCTTGGCAGCAAATGCTTTCATTCCGGAACACAACTGTAGGGAAGTTCAGCTTAGACAAGCTTGTTCTGCGCAGGTCCGACCACGCCCTGAATTGCCTAAACAAAAGCCCTACTTGATGCATTCCAAGCTGTTGGACCGTGGCATTTTCCCTCTTCCAGAACCGCTTTGCGCGTCCTATCTCGTCCTGCTTTGCAGGCGGGGGCCAGCGTTGAGGAACGAGCCCATCCTTTCGCTGCGTCTTTGTGCTCATTGTCTTCTGTGCCGACTGCTTCTATCGAAGAGGAGGTGCAGATCCTGCTTCCGAGCAGCAACAACCTGCGATGCAAATCCAGCTTTCCAATAAAAGGATGAACTCCCTCCGTGGCTTCAGCTATCACGTGTGGTCCTCATTTTTCAGAGCTCAGATGCAAAATCCAACCTTCACGGGTCGAGCAGGTTCAGGAGGCGTCCGTGAGCTCATGCCTTGGTGCTGGCTGCAAGCGCTGTCAAACCTGGCTTGTCCATCGTTTCGGTCCACCTGTGACTAGGTGGTACAGATCCCGCTGGGCAGGGAGGCGCGTTTCTACTGTACCGTGCGATTTGCCAACTGTCCCGAAAATAGTATCATTATTAGTATTACTATTACTATTACTATTATTATTACTATTACTATTACTATTACTATTACTACTACTATCATTATTAGTATTACTATTAGTCCTATTAATGCCGGAGCATCCAATTTGCCCGCGCCCATCGGCTCGGAATGCTACTGGACGTTCCAAAAACGTGGCGTTGCAGGCGGATCGGGACTTCGCGCGTGCAGCCGCCGTTTTCGGGACACAACATTTGGGATTTGTTTTTCTCGAAATCGGCCCTTCTGCAGGCATTCTGCCTTACGAAATGGTAAAATGACTTTGCTTCTGCAGATGGAGGGCCTGAGCCACGCTGCGCCTCCCCACCCCCTGCTTTTCATTTGAAACGGAACCACCCTAAAGAACAAAAAGCCTTAAGAGGCGTAAACACAAAAACCTAAACCCTAACAATCCCAAACCCTAAAAACCTTAAAGCCTAAAACCCCGAAACCTAGACCACAAACTAAAAACTGAGCCCCAACCCAGATCCCAAAAACCCTAAAAGTCCTAAACACTAAACTCTAATAACCCAACAACCCACGAATCCTAAACCCTAGGAACCCTAATGACCCCAAATCCGAAGAACCCTAAACCCCAAAAACTCAAAAAACCCTAAACCCTAACAACCCGAAACCATAAAGCCTGACAACACCAAACCCTAAAATTGCCAAACTCTGAACCCTAAAAACCCGAAAGCTAAACACCCAACCCAAACCCTAAACACCCTAAACCCTAAAACCATAGAACCTATCAAGCCCCAACCCTAAAACCCCAAGAAATATTGAGAATCCTTACCCAAACACTTTAAACCCTTAAAGCCCTAGACCCAGACCTCACAATTTCCAAAAACCTAACGACTGGCAGAGTAGGGTAGAAATAAGTGTGTGCAAAATGAATGCTCCACAAGTACTATTGCTATTAATATTCTTCTTGTTTATAATTACTACCAGGATTATTCTTACAACTGCAGGGTGCTGTGCCTGTGGCGGAAGCTGGCGGCGGCCAGCAGCGCAAGGCGGCTAATCCGGAACGTCCTTGCCCGAGCTTCCGTAAACCCTTTGCAGTAAAACCAATAATAGTAGTAATAGTAGTAGAACTTATAGAAAACAGTAGGAATAAGAATGATGGTAGTAATAATACAGTACTAGTAATAATAGTAGTGCTCTCCAGTCTTCTCTGCTTCTTTGAATGGTTTGTTCTGTCCGAAGACTTTTCGATCTGCCCGGGAGACTCGGTGTGTCAGCTTTGTGCATTGCTCGGCCAAGGTGTGCATGCAATTTCGCGATCAGGCACATGGTTCGCATGCGGTGCATTGTGAGTTCTTGTGTGGTCGTGATAAGGGTTATCTTCAACAGAAAGCTGAAACCAGCATATGCCGGAATCGGACAGGTTCCTCATTCTGCAGCAACATGATGCGATGGGAATGGAACGTGAAACGAGACATGGGGGTTTGCGTAATTAGGGGTTGGGGGGGTCCATGGGCCTCCCTTATAGAGCTATATCTGTTGTGATAAGGATAGGGACCTTTAATTTTTGGAAACGCCCACATGTCTGGATGGGCCACTACAGAAGGGCGGAGGCTTCCTCAGATTTTTTTATGTGGGTGCTTCATGCTCAGTCTGTGGCCATCCTCCACCGATTGACTCTTGGATCTACGCCATCCTATGCAAGCTTTGTGGGCTCAAGCCCTGCTGGCAATCTTGCTCAGCAACAAACATGCCTTAGTTGATGTGAATTTTGGAACTCCAGGCTGCTTTTGACGTGGCCCGTTGACACAGTTGAAATGCAGAACTTGAAGTAGCAGCATATGCCCAATATGCTGAGCAACAAAAATGCTACTCTCAAGCTGATTGGTAATCATTGTTCTGATTGACAGCAGCAGGTGCGCATGTGCCTTTTGCTGCCTCCAACTTGTGTAATGGATCGCAAGAGCGCTAACTAGCAAATTGGGGGCCTAGCCTCTTGAGCCCACATCTGCAGCATGGTCCTCGACAAGCCCACCCGCTCTTTCAGGGGAGGAACATCTGCGGACTCTCGATGCAAAGTTGAGAGCACGTGAATTCCTTGGCATCGTGTGTCCGCATGTCTTGCACGTGAGGAACATCTGGTTGGCTTTGTGGCTGGTTCTATTTGGTCACTGGTGTACGTTGTTGCACCGCTCTATGTCCTTGGGTTGCAGTGCATATAGTGTTTTCTTGGTTATCGAAGACTGCCCTAAAGGCTTAAACCCGAGAACCGTTAAGGCCATAGACCCTAAACCCCTAAGGAGGATTGGCAGAGCATGTGTGGCACTTGTGCTTCCCAAATCCCAAGGTAGCGTTGGCTCTGGGATGTCTTCTGAGACATCCTTTCTGGGTAGGTTCTTGGAGCCTCCTTCTGCCGCCCCTTGATACAAGATGGTTCAAGTTGGTTGACTTGAGCATTCAGAGGAAAGATTTTGGCATTCAGGCTCATCCTGTCGTTCATGACCCCAGACTATGTTTTGCAACATTTGGGCCACGTTGTGCTGACGTCTTGGCCTATGCAGCAGCCACTTGGGCATATTGGGAATGTTGAGTGCAAGAGAGTCTCCTACTCGGGGGGAGCTGCACACTTAGGGTGCCCAAATACTTCGACTACGAGGAGTACCACGAAATTTCAGATAGCTACTCGGAGTTAGATTTCATGGCAGGGCCGGCATTTTGTGGAGGTGCCTGTTCAGTCAAAGTGCATAGCACAGCAGATTTGAATTGTTTTGGGCCGCTCAACTTCGAGAAGCAAACTTACAAGACTTATGCTAGCTGTCTTGTCTGTAACGTTGGGGCAGGCATCATCGTGAATGTATCACAGCACAGAACTCACATAACTCTGTTTCGCGGACGTGCGGTCAGGATCTAAAGCTCCACAGGCGCCCTTCAATGCTTCTGCGTAAACGCATTGCAGCTAGGATTGGTTCACACCAGGGCAGCCTCCGTTCACCTCAATCAACCTCCCTTTTGTAGCCTGAGGCGAGATCCGTGCAACTCGCAAAAGTTTCATTGTGGGTGCGCACCCACACGGCATTTTTCCCTTCACTGCGGTTTGCGCAGCAGCACGGGGCTTACCCGCTAGTCTTGACAGTTGTTCGAGGTGTACCTGTATGCGTTCTTGTAGTTTGCCTTTGAGGTTGCAACCCAGAGTGCCGCAGATGGCTTTGGTGCCGCCCTTCCCAAGGCATGCCCTGCAGTATGAAGGCATGCTATGGCGTGCTGGTCAGCCAGCTAACTTAGAAATGCAAGCTGCTGAAGATGCTGGCAAGCACTGACTTGTGAGACCTGGAAGTTGAAGGAAGACCTGCGTTGCATCATTTCTAGTTGATTCAGCCTGTCGTCTGCAGGAAGCTCCAACGGCTGCCGCATCCGTCATGAAGTACTTCCCGATCCTGAAAGATGTGATTGGAATGTTCGGATTGATTGAGTCTTGGCTGAGCTACAGCTCATTAGCTAGCACGCAGGGTTACAGTTCATTCCTCGCTGAGGATGCCAGCAGTGCGACGCTGTCAAAGCAGCTGAGTAAACCAAAAGGCCTGCATTCGGAAGCAAATAAGGGTTGCCCTTAGAGCGTCGTTTCATTGCGCACCGCAATGACTGCAAATGTCGTCACACACGGGAGGGACGGATGTCTGGCACATGGAACGCGCAGGATGCATGCATGGTACAGGCTAGACAGGCTGCACAGGAGGGTGTGAGGCATCAACTCTGTGGCATGGCACGCTGGGCTAGACATGCAAGTTTGGGGTATGCATGCTTTAGCGCACGTAGCAGAAAGAGGGCTGCGCTGGGCAAGGGGAAGGCATTCGTGTTTTTTGTCAGAGATGCGGGCTTTTTCACGAGCATTTCGGGACATGGTTTTGCTAGCATGAGCCAGGCGTCCCACCCCACCCTTATGACACAGCGATGTCTTGAAAGCAGTGAGCCACATTTGAGAACAAACAGGTTAGGATGGTGAATCCTGTCCAAACAGGGAAAGGGGGATCCAGAACTGGCGATGCATTCGAATGAGTGTGGCTGTGGGCATGGAGGTGAGGTGGGAGGTGTGGGACCCCTTTCTTGGTCTGTTCTGATTCCATGCTCTTTCTCCTGCTTGTGGCAAAGCAGCATTCTGAGAGTTGGCCGAAGAAAGCGTTGGGAAATGTTGGGAACCTTCCCCTTGAGGAGCTGTGATTCTCTACGTGGGCGGTATCGTGGAGCTCTTTTCCTCCAGCCCCAAGAAGGAGGCTGTCTACCTGAAGCAGAGAGCTGGGCTACTTGCCTTGAAAAAGGACGGCCTCTACAAGTCGCAGAAGGGTTTCTGGAGGCAGAAGTCTAGGTTCCCCAGGGCTGCCAGTGGCATAGCGTGGCGAATTTTGGTGCGAGCGTGCGAAGTAGACAATCGAATTAGATCATGCTTCTTCAGGAGGGCAAGCCTGAAACGAGCAACGTCGAGGTGTAACTCACTTCAGTAAGCGAGCCTGTCACGATCATGTGCATATATGGGCATCTCCCAGCCATAGCTGTTTGTGGTGAGATCGCCAAAGCCATGCACCGACAAAGCCCAGTTCATCCAAACGGAAGCTGATAATCCTGTGAGTCAACCCATGAGGTTCATCAAGCTGGCACTGCGTACCGGCGCAGACGTGATTCCAGTCTACATGTTTGGGACTCTTAGATGATGTGAGATTTTCCAAGAATATACTGTACTATATCATAATGATAAACTAGAATATACTGCAATATACTGTAATATACTATAAGAAGTTAGAATATACTATAATATACTACAACAGCTTTGCTGTCTTGTTTTTGCAGGCATATTGGCATCTTTCACTGAGGAACACCACTGTCCTTTCCGCTTTGACATTTGGACCGCTTGCGTCCCTGAGTCGAGCATTGGGTATGTCAGATCTTTGGCAGCAAGCTGATTGCTGCCCAGACTGAACAAACAACAGCAGCGTTGTTGCCTGGACTGCGTCAGAAGTGTAGTTTCCCTACCTAGGGGGACCCCAAGGTAGGACCCCCACATACTATATTCCGTTTTGTGGGGGTCCCCAAAAAAGGTACCCCTGATTTTGGGAAACCCAAGTAAGCTGCAGGTGACGCTGTTTTGGGGCAGATTCGGTCTGCCTTTGCCAAAGCCTGTGCACCTCGGGATGATTCAGGGTTTAGGGTTTAGGGTTCTTCCCAACAAGGGCAGAACTACTAGGATTTAATGGGGCATATATTGGGTTATATAAGGTTATATAGAGATAATGGAAAAGAGAATGGAAGCTATTATATTACAATGGGGTATACATCTTAACCCTTTTGATGACCCAGGGCTCCCCAATCCCTCAGCCCAACGTCCAAAGCCCAAAAAGCAGGTCACGAGAAAACCCAAGTCCAGAACCAGGGCTTCTCCTTTTGAAGGACGGATGTTTTGTCCATTATCCCTATATAAACCCTATATAACCCCAATATACTATACCTAAACAGGTCTCGGTAGATCATCTTCGTGTTGTCTATGTGACACCCCTTAGTGTGCAAAGTGAGGCCTTTGACATACGTCCGCGGCCGACCTTTGGGAATGCCACATATAGCTAATCCTACCCCTGCAGCTTGGCTGCACTCGACAGATGCGAGAAGAGGTATTGTGCTGATGGCATCCTTGCATAAGGAAGACATTCAGAAGTGGCACGAGATCTATTGTGAGAAGTTGAAGGAATTGTTTGACGCCTACAAGGGAAGAAACCCAGACTACAGGGAGAAGGAGCTCAGCATCTTGTGAGGCGCTCGTAAGTGTACAGCAGGGCCCTGTCACTCGTCACTGTCGGGTGTCTGGCGAACGACGCTGCGCAGAGAAATGATCTTGCTGAGCGAGTGGCACTTAGTGTTTTGGAATGCGGTCTTGCTTGGGGCCGTAGACTGACGTCTTACGCATTTTTTGCAGGCACTTACAAAGAGAAGCTTTGCATCCCTTGTTGGTCATTGGCGGTGGAGTTCAGCGCGAACCAAGGCCGTCAAGCAGGCCTGTTGGAAGCCAGTGGCCTGCACGTCTGTCAAAATCTGTTTTTGCGGAGGTTGTTGACCGGTGGGTGCTTGCACAACATCAGACTCGCGTTCGGCAAGCCCTTGGCGTTTGGAGGTAGGGCCTGAACATGGCTTGGCCTAAACAACTTCCATGTGACTTGGAGGCTTCGCGGTGCGAAGGGCGCACTTCGTCGCCGAGGTTGCAGCTAGCGGCCGCAGTTTTCATGACACCTCAGTTCTGGCCATCCAGCAGGTGCGAAAGCGCTTGGCCTCTTCTTGACAGCATCGCGCCAGATTGCTCAGTACAGATTTCTTCGCAGCTGTTGGCGTTCAAAAGCTGCCAGCGCCAGGCCTGAGACGATGGCTCAATGCTTGGAGCAGCATCGTCTCTCAGGAAAGGAGGCCACGCCATTGGCTTCCGGGCCACTTAGGTCTGAGGTGTGGAGGTGTGGGGTGACTGTAGGCAAGAGTCTGGCTACGCGCCAATTTCGGCTCAGACGCGTCTGACATTCTCTCAAGACTCGAAACGGCAAACATAGCAGAACCAAGTTTAGGATATGCAACAGGGACGCCAGTTTTTTTGCAATTGCGCATGAGCTATTACCATTTCACCATGTTCAGATATTTGCAGGCACCATTTTTAATTAGAGTGTGAGCACCTTATTGTATTGCATATTATTACACCCTCAGGATACTTCCATCCTTCTGTGCCTCTCCTTCCGTGCCTGCTTATGAGCCGGCAAAAACCCTTGCAGCTCTCGGATCCTGTCTATTCCTGGCACCCAGAAACAAGTGAAGCGATCACTTTCGATGAAGTCCACCGAAGGCATGGGGCCGAGATTTTGTACCGAGAGCTTCGGCAAATCAAAGTCAGCTTGGAATCTACAAGCCCCATGCTGCACCAAGGATCGTGCATCTCAAGTCAGGTGGATTTACCACAGCTGATGTGATCGACGGTGGCAAATCAACATCGCCCCCAGATGGACTGACAGTGACTCTGGAGCATCAGGTACGATCTGTGCGGTTCTCACCCGATGGCTTATACTTCGCCTTTTTGTGCGAAAAGCGCTTGGGATGCTTACGGACAATGCAGCCGGCATCTCAGACTCAAAGCTCCCTGAAGGGGCCTTGCTGCTAGAATGGGGGAAACATGTTAGGTACTAAATTAATGGGGCAACCATACTAGGTACGAAATTTACCCATGATGGTAATCTAATTTAGGTCCCTTAACAGCAACCCAGATCTGCATAAGGCCGGGTCAGCAGCCGATTTGGCCATCCAGTAAGTGGAGCAGCAAGGCGGCTGGGCTCTTTTTGGCGTATGCCTGACGTTGCAGTTTATCAAATTAGGGGTATAGCGGATATGTAAGTAATAGTGGACAAGAACATGGAAGCATTCTTCTACTTTCAAAGGCGCGTAATAGGTTTTGGCAGGCAATTTATGTGATGTTCTGGGATTTTGGACATCCCGTTTTCCTACATTGTGAAGGTGTAGGTAGGAATTGTTGAGCCAACGAAGGAAGCAACCAACAAACCAGGACGAATTGAAGCATAGAGGGGAGATTGGAAGAAAACCAGGAAGGAAGGCCTGGTTGCTGGCTGTTAAGGAACTTAATTTATGCTTTATAATGAGGAAACCATACTAATTAGTATATGTACATATATATATATATCTCATATATATACCCATTATGGTAACTTAACTTAAGTTCCTTAGCAGCAACCAAGAAGGAGGCAGGAAGGAAGGAAGGAAGAAAGACACAAAATCAGGAGAAGGCTTGTGTCAAAGATACTTGTAGCCCCCCATTGTGGTATGTTAGAGTATATATATGTTAGGTTTAGGGTTTAGGGTTTTGGACTATACTGGGGGTACATAGAGGATATATTGGGGTTATATAGGAATGATGGAAAATAAAATGGAAACTAGTATATGGGCATACCATCTAGTATTGAGGGGGTGGGGGATTTTATATAAGGGGTAGGATCTCGTTGGCAATCCTTCGCTGCTTGTCTTCTTGTAGCTTTGCCCGTTCTATGGTTGGGAATGTTTGCCTGCTCCAAAAGCTGGGTAAGCCCCTAAGATATTTAACATTTTCCCTAATGGCTTCAATAAGGGACCCTATATACTACCATTTTTCAAAGGGTTTTAGGGGCCAACTCAGAAAGTTACAGTTAGGAGGATGGCCAACTTGAGGGTCCAAAGGGGACGACCGTTAACAAGATATCGAGAAGAAGGTTTCAAGAGCCTGTGGCGACATCATGCTTCTGAGCCGAATGATACTGTGGTCTCCTTCGGATTTACATTAAATTTCTGTTTTAGTATAACCTTCAGGAATTACTAAACATGATATTTTTGTCATAGGTCCAAGGAGACTACAGTCTAAAGAAGCTCCACAGGTCAGCCATGGAACAGGCCTGAGATGGTCCAACAGCCAGGATGGGGAAAAAGAGGGTCCACCCTTTACCCTAATATAACCCCTATGTAACCCCTATAATTTTATCTACTTAAGGGGGACTATACCCTAAACCCTAAACCCTACATAGAAAGATGTCGCAAGGATGGCGACTACCGGCTGCGCGAGCTCTGGTGGACTTGTTGCAAGTATATAGGGATATATCGTAACATCGGAGAATGAACTGAAACGAAATGGAAAACACAATGGAAACTAGTATGGTTTTGGTAGTTTCCCGAAATAGGTGGAACACCAATATAAACCCTAAACCCTACACCCTAAACTCAATTGTTGTCCTTTACAGGCAGACTTTGAGATCCTCGCCTTCTTCTGGCTGCCCGTGGAGAGCCTTGGCCAGCTTTGGATAGTCTTAAATCACATTTTCATTATTTCTAAATATGATATAGGGGATTTCTTCCGAAATTAGGGGTACCTTGTTGGGGGTCCCCATAATAAGGATTATAGTATTTTCGGGGTCTATATTGGGGTCCCCCTATTTTGGGAAACTACCATATGTTGTAGTATGCTAAAATACAATAGACTTTTATATGTTGTAGTATATCAAAATATACTATAGTACATTTTACAATATTGTGATACTACGACATATTTTGAAATATTGAAATGCATCATAATCTGTTATAATATGTTATAGTATATTATAGCAGTTTATAGTGTATTACACTAACATAGTCACAGAGTGGCAAAGCCCAGGCAAGATGCAAGCGACCTTGCGGTGGTCACGAGCCAGGGTATTGAAGTGTTCCGGCTAAGCTTCGAGCAGAGGACATCCAAGTCGACTCGAACATTTCCAACTCCTGTGACTGGGTTGCTATCAAGGAACTTAACTCAAGTTAATTTTAATGGGGAAGCCATGTTACTTGCTATAGGCAAATATACGCCCATTACGGTGACTGAGTCTAAGTTCCTTAGCAGCAACCTAGGTGAGGGTTTGTTGGTTGGAGCCTTGCGCTTCCACCGTCCTCGTTTGCACCGGCGCACGGACTCTGCAGCCGTACGACTTTCGCCGGCGGAACGCGAAGCTACCGCGATTTGATTTGGTCCTAAGTCGCGGCCAGTCAATTGAGCCCTGCGACGTTGCTCTCATGACAATTTATGACTGCACCTACTGCATTCATGCTGATGGGTCCAATGGAAAGGTCTCGTTGCGAAACGTGACAAACTTAGAAAAGGGAACTCCCGAGCACGACATCGTCATCGACCTCTCTGAGGAGACGCCGCTCGGCCCGCTGCGCCTGTCCGTTGTGGACAACCTCCTCATCGTGCATTCGCTGGAGAGGACTGTGATTCTTGCATGGTGACATCAGTTGCACTTGCTTCTTACATTCACCTTGGCAGGATGGTGGCCACACTGTACGACATCAGACATAAGGACAACGACACTGTTCCCAGGTTGGTAAATCAGCATGGACTGGACTCTGAGGATGCGTCGCAAGCCTCTCCTTGGTTAGACTGGGATTACCTGCCCGGTGGCATTGTGCTTGATTCGAGAGCTGGAACTGTCCGTCAGCTTCGCCTCAACATGGGGGTCGTTCTAGCGGATTTTCTCGCACAAGCGCCGGTGGACGTGAGTTCCGTGCTGAAGCTCTTATTGCGGCGCACGGGCTGCAGAGAGCATGTGGTTCAGCTGCTCCGAAAAGCTCTGAATGCAAGAACCCGGTCTGCGGAGTTGTGTCAGGGCTTTCAAGTCTTGAACTCAGCATACAGGCAAGTGATCGAGTCCATGTCGCAACGGAATGCTGGCGGTAGTGCGCGAGCAAGCATCTCGCTCCAGGAACTGGAGGCTCAGATAACTGACCAGTCGATCTTGTCTGAGAAGGACATGGTGACACAGGTTTTCTATCCGCACTTCGTTGAAAGCGAGGGCTTACAGGATCACGAGAGCTTCGGACCGGCAGATTTATCCGAGCCCTTCTCTCTGGCTACTTGGCGCATCCCCTTTGAAGTTCGAGAGAACAAAGATGCGCGGGAAGGTGGCTCCCCGTATATTCTGTCGGTGGTGATATCCTACCTACGCAGCCTGCTTGGTCTGCAGATTCTGCCTCACAAGATTCTGCAATGCTTCGTGTTCGACCTGTGTGTATACTTCAGGCGGCTCCTCAAGGGGAGGGGTTGGTTATAGGGGATTGTATAGGGGACTACTATAGGGGTTATTGAGGGGGACAGGGGATTCTATAGAGGACTACTATGGGGTGGTGAAGGGAGATAGCTCCTCCAGCTGGTTTGACAGGTCACATGTCACAGCTAAACCCTAAACCCTAAACCCTAAACCACATCTTGCTGTCACAGCTGCCAAGCTGACTGAGGCAGGAGCACATGCTTCAACAGCTTTTGCACTATCATGCGCCGGTCTCAACCGGTTTCAGCTGAAGTTGGCTTCATAGACCCTGAACCCTAAATAGTAGTTTCCATTTCCTTTCCCTTATCCCAATATAACCACAATATAACACCAAAAAATAATCCCGAAAATTCTGGCCCAATATATATATATATATCCTATATACCGAACTAAGAAAATAGAAGCTACTAGGGCCTTTTCCGAGGCATTACATGTGAATTGTGAGGTGCTGCTCGACTCCCCGGAGCTGGTACAAAGACTGCGGGACTTGGCCCAGCAGAGGCAGAAGGCCTGGGTTGATGTTAGGGAACTTGATTTCAGTTAAATAATGGGTATATATATATATATGAGCCATAATCTAAACTCCTTAAAGGGGTTATATAGGGGATTATATCGGGAAGTATTATGGGGCTTATTAAGGGGAATACTAGGAGTTTAGACCACGGTTCATATATATATATATGTATAGATAGGGTATGTAGGGTATATAGGGTTTAGGGTTAAGGAACTTGAATCAAGTTGCCATAATGGGTATATATAGTAGGTAACTTAAATTAAGTTCCTTAAGCCCCTATATCCATTTGATTCTCCATTAAAGGGGGATAGTGAACAACCCAAAAGGAGAGGCCCTGGGCCACTCAAGCCAGCCTTGCGGCAGACTCAGTGTCATTTTGTTGCTCAACCCAGCTCTTTTTGACGCTTCTTTGCCAGATATCAAGGACATGGCCTTGCGGGTCCGCGAGTTCTCCGTTGTGGCTGACATGCTGCTCTTTTCCAGCCAATACTTGGACATTGTGCCCCTCAGCTTCCCTTCGCTGCCTCTCTTCAGCTGCATACTGTCATTGATGATGAACCAAGGCCGTTCCTGATCAATCAGAAAGATGTGTCCTTCAAAGTGCGCACTTTGTTGGAGCATCTGGAAAACGATGTTGATGCCAACCGCAGTGACCCCGAGCTGATGCAGCACGTGGGAGGCCTAGTGAGGGACCGCAGGTTCCGATGACACGTTTCTGGGTCTGCACTCAGGTGCTGGCCGAAATCCGCTTGTGGAAGCAGGAGGCCACAACGCCATCTAGCCCGAACGCAGATGCAAATGGACCAGGAACAGCTTGTTGTTATCTGACTTTGGATGAGGGTACCTGAACATGCTCACTGAAGCCCTGGCTAACAGGAGGGAGAGCGGTGCTGCCTGCTCCTGACCTTAGCGGTTGCGAAAAGTGGCTACCTGAACTCCTCGAGGCATGGATGAGAGAGAGCATAGGAATGTGTAGGAATCCAGCCGAGATACAGTAAACTTTAGCCACGGAATCTTTGTTCGCTTCAGGCGCAATCCAGTACTGAAACCGCAGTTTTCGGTGCCTGACGTGCCCAGACCATGTCTCACCAGAGGAGAGCCAAAGCTAAGAAGGATGCTCTCCCTGTCTTAGGACCAATTGATTGTTTGCCAGTCCAAATTTTTGCCTGCCAGCTTCTTGCTACAGCGTTTGCTGCGGCAGCTGCCTGACCTGACCGCGTGTGGTAGCCAGGAGATCGCAGGGCTTGGCAACAATCGAGAGCAGGAAGCGCATCGTGCTCGGGTGCAATCCCAAGCAGTCCTCTGGAGTCCTGAATTACACCACAATTTATAAAGATAAGAATAATAATCATAATAATAATAACAAAAATATCAATAATCATAATAACAATAATAGAAATAGTAATAACAATAATAAAAAAATAATAATAAAATCAAGCTGAAAGAAGCCCAAAGGAGCAAGTCTTGCAAAGTCTGGCGACATGCTGCTCGGCGCAGCATCGCTGCAAGATCCGTGCCTTCCTCGGGGTTATAATGGGATTATGGAAAAGAACATGGAAGCTACTATAGTATTTTGGGGGTATAATGGGATAATGGAAAAGAAAATGGAAGCTACTATAGTATTTTGGGGTTATAATGGGATGATGGAAAAGAAAATGGAGACTACTATAGTATTTTGGGGTTATCATGGGATAATGGAAATAGTTGCTCTGGATGCACAGCCAGGCAGATTTCTCAGTTTAGGAATGATGCTAAAGCGTCGCTTCAACAGAAGGCTGAGAGATGAGCCGTGAAAGCATGCCGATCACGGAGAGCCTTTCAATCATACAGTTCGGGTAAGGGTTCTTGCTAACGAATCACTTGAAAGTCCCGGGCCAGACCCTAGTTTCAGTTGTCATTGCACTTTCCATGTCCTTTTCCGTGTGAGTCTCCATTCTTGTCCATCCACGTCCCTCTGTGTCCCTATATAACCCATCACAACCGTCTACACATATATACATATGTATATATATATATATACATATGCATATATACATGGAGATGTTTCCATGTTGTTTTCTGTTTGATTCAAATTCAACCCATAGGGCCTTCCACCTGGCTGTGCGTGCTTTTGCTGATGCTGAGCTTACTGGTTCTTATAGTAGGGGGAATATAGGAATATAGAGATCATATAGGGATTATTATATTCCCCTCTTCCCTCCCGAGAACCGGTAAGCTGAGGTGGCAGAATTCCTGCAAGACTTTCGAGTACGGAACATCATCCACAGATGGGCGCGCCATGCGCACCTTGATAGCTGAACTCCCTGTCTCAAATTCATCTAAAGCAAACTGCAGCATTGTTGGCTTGGTGCTAGGCCAGCCAGTGGAAAGCAGATGGGTACCGGTCCATGAGGCTGCGTTCAGCCGCATGGAGAGGCTCTTGCCTTAGCCAAGCTTCTTGCTGGGTGACCTGCAAGTGAACTTGGGATTGAGGTCTCCAGCTTGAGTCAAGGAGAGTCAAAGCAGGGTGTGCTGTACAAAGACGAGGCAGGGGTACTCATTAGCGGTCATACACGAGACATCAAGTGTATGCCGCGCTGCACCAGTCAGGCTACACCTACATGCTCAGATCCGCAACCCGGCTGCAGAAGATAACTTGCGCTTGTGTCAGGGAGCCAGGCAGCAACCGCCAGCAGCAACATGAACCAACGATGCCCCTTTTTTATGGAATGCTGGCATTCACTGACATTGGGTCTGTTTACAGGTTAAGAGAAGCTGCAGCAAACAGATGCTTCTGTTGGCCGCATGTCCGCCTGACTAAGGCCTGGAAGCGGTGGAGCACTGCGAATTCGTAAACCCGTCTGACTTGGAGGGGATTGTGCCGCATGCGAGTGAGTCGTTTGTGCCAGAGCATGGCAGGTTGAAGAACTGCGATGCTATCTGCCAGCAGAGGGCAAAGGCAGCCAAGTGGAGCCATGCAATCGAGCCGTGCGCTACTATGCTGCTCGAACAGATGCGACGCCTTGTCGTTACCCTGCGAAGCTGGAAGAATTTGAAAGCGGCCAAAGTTTTCGCCGTGCCTCTCTTAGAAGATCTAGAAGTGCGAACAAAGCAGCACAGCTGCATCAGTCGCTAAGGCCCGCAGCACCTTGCTGCATGCCTTCCGGATATGGAGTGAGATTGTAGGCGCGCTGCAGGTTGATGTCTATGTCTATGTCTCTGATTTGATGCAGAGAAGTTCGGAGGTCACCTACGCAGCGAGCGGGGTGCCAGAGAGCTGATGGTTACGGCAGTCAGATCCTACCTCAGTGGGAGAGGACACTTGTCAAAAGACCGGTGCGCAGCGTTGAACAGCGAGCCGCCTGAAGGTGATGGGCCTTCTGCCTGGTGGCAGAGGCCTGCATGAGGCCTCGAAGTTGAGAGCTTTGCTAAGCCGAAGTGACCAGGTGCTGCGAGCGCCTGCAAAAGCGGTTGTTCCTGCTCTGGGGCCAGGCAGCCATCAAAAATGCCCCAAGCCTTTCTGCACATCTGCACTTGGCAGGTAGCACGGGGAAAGAGGAGGCACAGGCGCAAGATCACGGAGGACTGCCACTGGATTTCTTGCTCCCAACCTGTGCACAGTTGCTTTCATGGTTGCACAGTCGAGCATCTGCACACGCACTGCAATTCTGCAGGCCAAAGAAGCCGTCCGAAAAGTGGTGGACTGCTCAGTATGCTCAGTACTGAACGTGCCTGGCGTTCCAGATCTTCCATCTTGATGATCCTGGCCCAAGGAAGTAACGCAGGCATTGTGGTTCTGGCACGGGCATGCCAGAGAGATGGCTGCGAGAGAGGTGCCTGGAGTTGTTTGTGTGCCCACCTCTACCACTTCAACTCGCTTGCCAGCTTTTTCTGAGGACCACATTCACCGGGCTTCCATGGCCCTGATGGTTGCAAGCTTAGATCTTTGATTCTGAGATTCGAATGGCTGTGCATGGCTTCGCAACTGCAAATTCCAGGCCATGGTCTCAGCTTCGAGATGGGCTCGGGCACACGACCTTTTAGTTCGCTGGTTTGTACGAGCGAAGGCGAAGAGGCCAGCCCAGAGAGCATTAAGCCCACGTTATGGTGTGGGAAATGTCTCAGCTGCCCTGGAGAGGATCAAGTGCGCAGAAGCCGACTTGAGTGATGAAGTGCCTTCTGCATGCTCCTGAGTCATCTTATAGTCCGCCTTAAGTAGATAGAATATGGCTTGGCCATATACCCCATATTCCTATCTACTTAAGGGGGACTATGAACTCTCAGGGGCTTCTTGTGGGATCCTGCAGTGCCCTACCCTTCTCATTTAGGCCATTAGTCTCAAAGATGGTTCGGGCATCTCCGAGCCAACTGCTGTGAGCACCCCCAGGCCGGGTCATTGCATGCTAGCTATATATACATATTTATATATGTACATATACTACTATTGTTATTATTATCACTAGTATTTTCATTATCTTTACTACTCTTATGAGTACTGCTATCTTTGTAATTGCTCTTATGATTACTATTGTATACCTTGGAAGGCGAGAAGGCCTGAGGTCGCCGAGCCGACCGCCGGTCTCGGTCTCGTTTTCAAAGCCTTCCCCGAGTGCCTCAGCACCTTCGAGGCCGTGCAGCTGTGTGCACGTGCGCTGACTAATATATGGGCCTAAATAATTACCATATTATGGTTCCATACTCCTTGTATAACTATAGTATATGGTACCTCAAATGGACCTCAACATGATATTGTCATCATTTAGGCCCCCATATTACTGTGCCTTTGCTGGGGTACTTGGCTCGGTGGTCGCAACTCTCAAACAAACATTCTCGGACTGGATTTGCTAAGTAGGGGTCCCACGGCCGAGATTTGGGCAGTAGCGATTGTTTTGCTCGAGCTGCAAGCTGGAGAACAGTTGGCACAAGAGGCAGACATACATGTTGTATTTTCAAAGTTTGTCGAAGAGCTGGAATCGCCAACTTCGCTGTTCGTATTGCTTATTCCGGTTCATGCAGCAGTTTTTTGCAACACCAAGAGTGCGGTAGTTTAGACTGTGACTCTCATGTTCGTAAACTTGGTGGCATAGCTGGCCGCTAGGGAATTTCAGTTTCTAGACAGGGGAATCAGTGGGAGGCGAGTAGTAGGCTCCTGCTTGCAGTCTGCTGTTACTTCCAACTGCAGCTGACCTGATTCCATGTTGCGCTAACGCAGAGGATACCAGAGATGTGTATCGCAGACTCCAGTCCACCTTTTTTCGTGTAACTGACCCTCGCGCTGCATTTGCGTCCCTGCGCTCGCCTCCGGCGCTCGCTGCCCGCAGTTTGCGCGCATTTCTGGACCTTGGCTGCAGGCTTGGCCCGAAGTGAGCTTGCTGTTTTTTTTGGCTTTGGCCAGTCCCTGTCTCTAGAATGTCAGGACGGTCCTTTGCCGTGCAGGCCATGCATCCGATGCACCCGCAGCCTGGATGCAACTTGCAGTGCTTATGACCACGTGTGATCCGTGAGCTCCGGGTGCATCCGGACCAGGACTCTTCTGACCTCCCGGCCGCCTGCCGCAACCTTGGAGGCGGCGGAGGAGGGCAAGGCGCCCTTGCCCTCCGAGTCGGACTCGGAAAATTCCGAGGCTTCAGAAGCCCAGCCTGGGCCCCGGCGGCCACTTAAAGCGCCAATCATGAAAGAAGATGAAGGGTCGAGAGGGTCTTGGGTCCTGTACTCCCAACTTGCGAAACCATGGGGAGGCGCGACTACGTTCTGCTGGGCTTCGACCTCAAGCCCTGGTTGCCGCAGGCCTGTGTTGGTTCTCTTGGGATTTCAAGCCTGTTCGCACATCCTCTCCGCATGTTTCTGTCTGACTTCGCTGAGCAAGGTCTTCATGACCAGCACGGTCGGGGCTTCGGACATTTTCAGATCCTTCTTCCCAACCAGAGGCTTTGAAGCCTATGCTGCTTAGGTGCTGGGGTCTGCTTGCCTTTTCGGCTTCCAGCCCCAGCCTCAAATGAGCAAATCCATCCAATACCTCTGAGGACGTCTGTGCGTTTGAAGGCTGCCCCTTCTATGCACCGTGCTGCAGCTCCCAAAGGCGCTGGGCTTGCGTGTCTTTGCCCGGCATGGAACATGTCATCCCATGCAACACCTTGTGCTCAACTACTGGTAGGTGCCCATCTTTGCGAGCTGCGGCGTGCTGGCTGCAACCACGTTTCTGTCGATGTGGTGCCCCGAACTGCGCTGCAGTGCTGAAATCTTCATAGGTTGGTGTTGGGCTAGGAGTGTGGTGGGGCCTAAACGATGCAAAAGCTCCTGCAGCCCGTGATGCGCGTGTCATTGTGTAAGTATGACTTCATTCTTCAGTAGGTGGCACGGCGTGTCAGGGTATCTGAATCTGAGGCTCTGAGGCTCTAGGCTGCTTGCAATAAGCCGCATCACGTGCCCTTGCAAGTTTGAGCAAGGGCTCTCAGCAGTCTTCAGAATTGATCCCGAAGGTTCTCAGCCCAAGATTTGTGCTCATGAGCAGGTGGTTCGATATTTGTTGGCTTCGCCTGCCGTGAGACAGCTCGAAACTAACCTTTCTGCATTTGAACGCTGCCCGAAGCAGCAAGGGACCTCGCAGAGGATTCGTGTTGGACGTATTGAAGCGCATCTCCCATGAAATTCCTTTCAGAAAAGCGGGAAAGACTACGCTTCGGAAAGCCACGCCTGATAGGTACTCGGCAGCGGCAGACCCAGGGCAAACAGAGGCCCACTTCATGCCGTCTGCTTGAGAGCCTGCCAAGCACGCCTATCACGCCTCCGCGAAGGACGAGGGTAGAGGACCAGCGCGGTCCCATAAGCCTGGGGCCCAGTGCAGTTTTCACTGTGCGGGTCTGAGGCTCATGCGATGCAAAGCGCCACTGTGGTTGAGGTCATGGCAATACCCTCGCCCAATCCGCAGGCATGATCATTATTGAAACTCGGATCGCAGTACGAATAGTGTGCCTGCGTTGCAGCAGGTGGCAGGTATCATTATGACATGTTCATCCCGCAAGCAATTTTTCTTTCATTATCCCCGGCTCCACTCCCACTCCTCTCTACCTACCACCCACGTCTACTGTCTCCCTCTCCCTCTCTTTCCGTCTGTCCATCTCTCCCTGAGGCAAATGGATCAACAACGTAATCGGCACGGTTGCCCAGGGTGAGGTTTGTGGAAACAGTCTTGCAAGATCTCATCAGCTTTTTGCTGTGGCGCTCTAGCTGATGAGGCCTGTGGAATCACCGCCCCTTCATTCTGATGCTAGCGGGCCGGGGCCCTGAGCCACAAAACAGGGTCCCGAGTGATTCCAAGCTCCTCTCAACTCCAAGCCATCCAAGGCTTGACTGTTACCGGCATGCAGTGGCCTCAGGAATTCCCTCCCCCAAAGTCTAGAAATTGGAGCATTTGCCCGAGAGTGTTGCTAAAGCTGCTCCCGGGAGTCCCACGAAAGGAGTGATATGTGTGGCAGAAGCAGTCGACAGCAGGTGTAGAACCCTTGCAAGCGGATTTCCAGGTTTGGTTTGCTGGCCGACGGCTATTTGACGGCCGTGTTCTGGCAGAAGGCTCTTGCGTTTCGAAGATTTCGATTTTCTATCCGTACCCTTTCACTGTCCATAGAATGTGTGCTACATCTGGACGAGGAGCATGTTGCGACAGAAGTGGGCCTGGTGCGGTTGCCTCAGACGATTGCGCGGCTTTCCGCTGCGAAGTTGTAGAGGTATGGGTTTTGTGCATGTGCTTTCAGTTGTTAATAGTTGTTGCCCGCGTGCCAAGATTGCATGCGATGTACTCCGCCATACTGTTGTACATCGTTGTGCCTGGAGCCCAAGCATTTGCAAAAACTCTGAAGGAAGGCTTCCATGCTTGGCAGAAGTACGGCCTGCGTCACAGGCCCATCGTACAAATCCACGCGGGGCTGATTTCAAGGACTCGTTCTTGTGTGGCTGCTCTCAGGGTCGGCCTGGAAATCATTTGCTCAGCTCCCGACACGAGCTATAGTCTAGACTCGTTAAAGGGGGTTATGTAGGGGACTATTCTAGGCTAGGGGTTATTAAGGCGGATACCTCGAGTTTAGAACTGACGTATCAGGAACGAGCTGGCGCAGGAATGGAAGCGCCGGCTCTACTGGGTGGTAGCGGCCTTTGAGGTGTGCTTGCCTCTCCTGACGGGTTGAAGTGTGTGCCTTTTCTGAGGCGAACTGCAGCCTGGGCCTTGCTATTCCAGCCTCTGCAATAGAGGACGTGGAGTTGCGCCCCCGCTTCGGTGCCTGCGTTTGATGAAGCATGTGCGTGCCTTTCATAGCGACACAGCATAACCCTGCCAGGTACAACGAGCTCTTCGACTCCGGAGCGTTTTTCTACGAGCCGGCCAGGTCGGCTGCGGGATCTCTAGAGCGCTTGCGTTTTCCTCCTATCCGCAATCGTCCCCACGAATACTTCAGCCCGCCCACGAAACCTATCTACGCACAGTTGTAGCATTAGAGGCGCCGTGCGTGTCTTCTCTGTGTGTTTTTTCTTGATTGGGGATATGCAGATATGCAACATGGGACTTTCGTCGCACATGCCACGTGACCGCCAGCGAGAAGCGAGGTGGGGCTCAGGGATGATGGATTCAGATGGATGGTTGGGTTCCGGGTTTCAATGTTATATTGGCATAATGGACAAGTAAATGGAAACTACAGGGACTATAGGGGTTGTGTAGGTAGTTCTGTGAATCGCTCAGGGTGCAGGGATGTGCTGAGTGCCGGCTGTTGGGGGAGAGTAGTTTCGTCCACACATCTTCATGTCGACATGCACGCATCCACATACAGCCTAGTGGCTTTGCTTCAAGCCTTGTAAGACATGCTAGGACGTGCAAATAGGTTGAACTACATATGATGCACAAACACAGTCTCTTGCAGCCCTGAACTTGGAGAATGACACAGGGCGTGAGTCGCCCACAATTGTGATCTCAGTCCCGATTCAACTACAATGAAGCAAGCTGTGCATGACGCAAAACGCAATCTCCTGCAGCCCTCAACTTGGAGCCCTCAACTTGGGTGTGACTAAGTGAGCCGCTCACCATCGTGATTTCAGTCCTGATGCATGCGTAGTACATCGTAGTACCCGTATACATACAGACCAACATGCAAGCAGAGAAAGTGCTGCTTCAGAGGCTGTCGTCGTTTGCAAAGGCTTACAGCTTCCAGAGCCACACATAGAGCGAGCAGTTGCGTAGGCAGATGTGCAGCGCAGTAGCGGGCCCTGGGACAGGAACCCCTATGACAATGGACTTGCTTCGAACTGCGCCAGCTTCTGGTGCACGCCGCGATGGTCAGCGCGGATTCCCAGATGTTTTGACTTGACCTGAAGCACCGGCCAGGTAGAAATACTTCCACATGCCATCGTTCGCTTGCAAAACTCTGCATCTCTCCGCCTTTTGGCGTGCTCCTGTGATGCATTTCGACGTCAGGACACGCCCGGAGATTTCTGATTGCTGTAGCCGTCGATGCCGAGGGCTAGCTGCTAGCTATGGCCTGGGAAACATGGGCCAAAGCGTTTCACCCAAAATCCTGCGATTGCAGAGCAAAGCGCTGACTGATACGTGCCAGACAAAAGACAAGATTTGGGCAGTAGCGATTGCCAGAGATGTTGCCAAATATCCAGCAGCAGATGTATTTGGCAATCACGCTTGTTGTTATCACTGCCGCACTTTTGACCTCGCTCAACTTAAAATCGTAGACCTTCATAATTTTCCCTCGCGCGTGCAGCTAATGCAGTGGCATATCATGGCATGCTGTTGGTGGAGAATCCAGGGACCACCCAAGAGTCAATGTGCATGTCCTTGGAAGCGGCTGATTCTGGAATCTCATGAGAAGGATTCGTTTTTGCATTCGATTTGAAATCAATCCATTCGCTACATGACCCTATGTTACCCTAAACCCTAAACCTGTAATCCCTTGGCCTTCCTGAGAGCAATTCTAACGGCAAAGCCGCTTCCATCACTGTCATAGCCACCTCCTGCCCATGTGCACACCCAGATGCACATGGGTGGTTGTCAAAATTATGGCCCCTTTTTGGGTACCCTAAATATTAGGTGCCGTAATATAAAAGGGATCCAAAAAGGAACCATAATTTTGGCAACCACCCACATCTGTTCGGTAGTTTCTGCCTTGATCTGCTTGAAACTGGGTTTGCAGCTGCTTGAGTTGAATACCAATGTGGGCCAGAATTTTCCGAGCTAGAAAACTGTGTCACAGGTTTTGCATGATTTGCCGCTACGTCGCGGGTGGCATGGGGGTCAACTGTGCAGCACCAGAGGTCAACTGAGGACCAGAGAAAGCTCCCGGAAGATGATTAGGGTTTAGGGTTTACCCCAACCCCCAAAATGAGGACCCTATAACCATTATATGATAGTTATAGGGTCCTAATTTTTTGCATTGGTGTCACCAAAATCCATGTATTAACCAAACTTTGCAGTCATGAAATTCGCAGATTCGGCGGACACGGTGAAGGTGTGTTAAACCTGTTGCTGCTACAGCTGAAACAGTTACAGGATTTTCCAAGAGCTTGGCAAAATCAACCCCGTGAATCCAGTTTCCATTTCATTCAGCCTTCTCAGTAATAGTGTGGGCCAGTACTAGTGCAATGGGGGAGCATAATGCGTGCGTGTCATCTTGTACATGATTACGCAGTACAGCGCAGTTAAAAACACATCTGAGGATCCTTAGCACATTGTAGGACTGAAGGGGAAAAGGGGGAGGCAGCAAAGGACGGCAGATTTGGCTGCAAACGGGGCAGACATGGTCGGTCAAATCAGGCGTTCTTTGCAGGGAGGTGTCACATTTCGCAGCTGCAAACGCAGCAGCTGCCTAGGGGGAGAATGCCGGACAATATACGCGCTGTTTCTGCCTCCTTCCCTTTAGCGCCATACCCGCGCGGTCTGCCATTTCGTTTGCCATTTCTGTTCTTTAGGTATTATCCCTATATACGTCAACCCCTAATATTGATATAATTCTCATATAAATTCGCATTTTGTAGTTTGCATTTCATTTTCCAGGTGATTTTCCAGTATAGCTCAAGGGAATCTTCGTGGCCAGGCAAGCCCATGCCTCTGCGTGTCTCTCGAATCTGGGTTGCTGTTAAGAAACTTAAGTCAAGTTACCAGAATAGGTATATATATATATATATTGTAAATGAGTAAATAATAGGGTTTCCCCAAGACGGTAACTTAAATTAAATTCCCTCAGTTACCATTTCATTTTCCATTTTCTTTTCCATTTGATTTTCCATTATAGGGGGGATAATATAGTACCCTAAACCCAATGTAGTAACTTAAATTGAGTTCCTTAACAGCAACCCAGGAATGGGCAGAGTCTGGGTCGTGGAGCGGGAGAAGCCCTTCGGGGACAAGATGCGCCCGTCGAGGATGCGAGAAGATTGCTGCCTGGTCGGGATTATAGGGATTGTAGGGTACATTTAAGGCTTCTCTAGTGGTTATATAGGGTTTATATAGGGATTATGGGGATTATGGGGATTCTATAGGGATTATATACCTTTGTGGAGAGTGTGTAGCCAGGCACAGGGTCATGGTAGACATATGTGACTTGCTCGCTTCAGCCTAGTAAAGACGCTGACGTCCCCCCACTCCTCCGTGGAGAATGTGCGTGTGTTGTCTCTTTGCTGTAGGTCTTTTATCTTCTGGTATCCTGTTGTAGCATCCAGCAGGCGATCCTTGAAAAGCAAGCATATTGCTGAACATAAAGTAGAATGAATTGTGGCAAAGCAGCAAGGAAACGACAGCTGACCTTCATACCTTCCTGCATGAAGCAAGTAAAATGCACAACACATTTGGAGTACAAAGATTAGCGTTTGAGCAAAATACAAATAATTATGAACGAAAAGTCAGATAAGGTGATGAAGCTTCTTCGCTGTTAGCTAAGACAAACAGGTGTTGTGAAAAACCCCAACGCAAAAATCTAGCCACCAGCGTTCTTTACTCCACTCTCGGCATGTGTTTTGGAAACAAGTCTTCTGTGATAACAGCCTCCTTCAGTGAAAATTTCTTCGCGTTGGCAACAAGACGAAGCTGGTGCGTCATGCGAGCGTGTTGGCTGTGTGATGCAAGGCAACGTGATATGATTTTGCTGTCCTTATCGGCGTGTGGCCTTATCGCAACTTCCCCTTGCAAGCCTGACATGAACCTTCTGGTCGACCTGCTATGGCACAACAGTGGTATTCTGTGATAGAATCTTTTTCGCCCAACGATCGTACTCAAAGTCACTGCCACGCATCACAAGTCCTTTCGCGGAGGAATGCAGACGCTCCCAAAAGCAATGAGACACTTTTTACTGCACTTCTAGGAGCGCAGTGTGTCTGCAGGATTCCTCAGGTAGGCTGTGTGAACAAAACGTGTGTGCACATTGGAAGTGCTTTATTCTTGTTTGCTGTGATCACTGCTTCGTGAACGAGGCCGGCGTCGCCTGTTCTGAGCCGTTGGCTGCCACTCAGTCCGCAATGGATTCCAATGGAAGTTCTGCTGGAAACCAAATGCTGCAGCCTGGATTTTGCAACAAGGAAGCTCGTCATGTCGCTTTGGCCTCTTGGCCGTACTCCTTGGCGACTTCGCGAGCCACCTCTGAAAGTGATTTCTAGTTGTCATCCTTGCAGGTTGACCGATGCAGCCGCCCTCTCTGTCCTTCGGTGCAAGTGCTCAGGAGCCGTCATTGCTTGCCTATACTCTTACACTTCATGGTTGCTGCCATACCCCTAAGTGAAGAAATGCAGAAGAACCTTCCCATCTCTGAGGTGGGCCTGCTCCGCGTGGCGTGGAGTGCACCTGCAGGTGAAGCTGTACCATCTTCGTGGTGATCTTGGAAGACCATGAAACCTTGCACATCCTTGCACGGTAGCTTAACAGCTGCGAGCCGTGTCGCGTCAACTGCAGGGTGGTGGGCTTTCGTGCTGAAGACTCGCAAGTTGAGGCCGGCTCAGAACTGTTCGCTTGAGCTATATAGCATGGCAGTGGCCCTTGCCGTGTAAGGAAGCACGACATCAAGCGCGATCTAAAGCGATTGCGCAGGGAGCCGATTTCTCCAATGGTCCTCCGGCGTTGTGATGTGTGCTCCCAAGAAGGTGCCACGTTCAAGGCGTGGTTCGAGGCAGTGGCGGAGCAGCTCCAAGAGGCCGACATTCACTGACAAAGCGCTTTCGCACAGACGGTGAGCAAAGCTTCACATCAGGCTGTTGCTGTGGCAGAAGCGGAACTCCTGGCATTCAGAGCTCTGAGCGACGCGCCGGAGGCGAGCGAAGAGGCATGGCTCCCTCTCTCTCTCTCTCTCCCCATCCTCTTCCGTCAAGGAGACCTCCATCCCTTTTGCGGAGCCGGTCACCATGGCAGCGATGTTCGAGCCTTTGCACTGCTTCCTCGCTCATTCCAAGCTCAGCCGAGAATATTATCTCACCGTGACACAAGGGTCCAGAAGTCCTCGCAGCACGCTTGGAGCTTGGATGTTACATGTCTGTGCAGAACCGAGCAGGTTGTAATGTAACGACTTTCGCCAACTTCTGACAAAGCTGTGGGCTCTTGGAAGGGCATTCGCAAGCTTGAGCCCTGCCCCTCTGCGGAGCCATGGATGGGAAGCAGGTCGGTGTGGCCACTGTTGCAGCATTCCTGCACTAGATGCATTACACTGGGCATTATTTGGCATGTGCCTAGCACCTGACATCTCGTCTGTGCCCTTGCATCTCTCGGGGTAGTGTTGCGAGTAGCTGTACTGCTTGGTAGTAGAAACAACTCCAGTCATCGCGAAGGTCAAACATTTTAGTGCTCTAGGTTGGAGCCAGGCGCTGCATAATGAGTGCCCGTCACAACCCAGAGAGGAATTACATCAGCGAAAACACCAAACGTCCCCAAAAAGCCAGATGTGGAATTATAGTCCCACTTAAGTAGATAGAATATGGCTTTGGGTAGATTATAACAAGATCCCCATATACCCCATATTCTATGAATTTGAGGGGGACACTACATGAAGGGAGACAAGAAGGAAACAAAGGGATCAAAAAGCCTCGCGGTCAAGAATTCCAGCAAAACAAGATTTGGCCTTAAATAGGAGGAATGGGGACCTCCAAAAAGTATATCTAATTTAGGGAAATTACCATGTCCCTACGTCCTTGATCATGTCAAGAACCTCTACCGTCAAGCTATTCGAGGAAACTCATTCGGGTTGGTCAAAGACAGGCTTGACATCCTGCTACCAGTGCGTTCACGAATCATCAACTGATTTTGCATGCTTGTCCCTTGGTCCTCCTCAAAAGCCATGTGGTTCTGCTTCTTTCGGTCCTCCGCAGTTTTGTGGTTGCTGAATGGTACTGGACTGAACGATAGCACAAGCTGGGCTTAGTTCAGAATCATTATTCCTACTACTACTACTGCTGCTGCTGCTGCTGCAAAGACTGTGACAATTTCTAAACAAATTACTATCACGATTACTATTGCTAGCGGTGATTTATCTTGAACACGCGGTCCCAAGTTGGGCGGGCGTCGGCCTGAATTGACAGCTTCATCCATGAAGCTTTCATGCCTCGGCAGCTGCAACACCATATCCCCATGACCTGATCTGCAAGACATGCATTTCAACCACCAGATTCAGGTTTAAGGGTACGGTTTGGGCCAGGCAGCAGGTGCGGATGTAGGAAGTGGAAGTAAGGGGCAGGAAGCGCATAAGACTCCTACCCTGAGCTGCTAGGCATGTTTTTTAGCCAAAGCCGACTTATACCGCCAAGGTATCCTCCGCAGCTTGCGCGATGCTATGCACAAGCAGGCTCGCAACGATAGGTCGTGTCACGGGAAGACCACTTCTTGTATGCTGACTTTTTACGACCACTGGGCATTTTGGGTGAGCTTTTGACCAGTTATCGAGAGGGGCAGTGGAAAAAAAGTTGCTGCGGGAGGGAAAACCAAGAGCTGCTACTTCGGGCTGCAAACCCAAAGACGAACGTGTTGCCGAACAACAACTCTTCTCGAATGTACCGCAGTGCTTCCCTCACGCGAAGCCACTACAAGTTCTGGAAGCAGCAAGCACCCCGTCAGGTCAAGTAGTGCCAAATGGCCTCCTCAAGACAAGCGGTACATAAGTAGTTGGACCAAATCAGATGTCATAACCAAGTGCCGGAGAAATTGCTGACCCACTGATGCTCTCGAAGAGTGGTAACACTTGGCAGGTGTTTCGTGGGCGGACGCGGCGCTGAGGTGAGCCCATCACCCAGACTGCGAGGTCCTGGACTGACAAACACAGCAGGCGCAGCCCACCAGACATGCAGACATGCATTGCCCAGAGTCTTGCTCGCCAAGCTTGGAGGCGCTCCGTCGGGAAGCTCCCGACAGTTCTGGTGCCTCGTGCCGGCTTCTGCAGCCGCGGTCTCTGGCCTTGCAGCCCTGCGCGCGCAACGCAAACCAGCGGCCCGGCACTCGCCTCATCCTTTGCGAGCTTACAGCCGGAGGTCTTTGGCTGTACGCTGAACAAAAACGCAGGCGCTCGCAAATCATTCGCCGCGCAGATGGCTTGGCGGACTGTCCATATGCTCTGTACGGCCGCTGACTGAGATAGGAAGCAGCCACAGCTTCTCCTCTTTCAGATGCTGAAGAATTCTGAGGTCCGAAAGACGTAGACATCGCGAAAGAGCGGCAAGAGCTCCAGGCCCACCCCTGTTCTGGGCGAGATCTTGTTGAAACGAATAGAGAATATAACATAATCAGAGTAAGTTGTAATCATCATATATTCTAGAATATGATAGTACATTCTAGTCTGGTTTAAAGCCCTCCGCAGTGGTGATGTTCTGTGAAACCTCGAAGCTCTGCAGCCTGGCTTGTGTGAGCCTTAGTCTCAACTCCTTGAAGTGGGGACTATTTGGGGGTATTAAGGGTGATGCTAGGAGTTTAGACTATGGCTCATGTGTATATTCCTCCAGACACTTGCTCACCTGCACCCTCCTTTCATGCAGAACACCACTGTTCGTGGAAGAAAGAGCAAAGACAGACGCCGTTGCTCCCTAGCGTTCATCGGCGCTGGACAGAAGACAGCTCTCTGGAAAAGCAAAGCTGAAGTTCTCCTTAGCCAGGGAAAAGAAAGTGCATCAAGTCTAAAAACGCGCTGTTGGTACAATATACTATAATCGACTACAATATATTATAATATACTACAATATACTACAATATACTAGAATATAGTATAATATATTAATATATTATCACATACTGTGAGACTTGGCTGGCTGTGATTGCTCAGCTTCTTGCATATTCTATCTTATGTGTAGGTGCAGAGCATTGCCGTTGCTTACTGTACCGGGAGAATAAGGGAATATCTTGAAATGGAAACTACTATAGTATA